AGATTTAGCCCTCTCTGACCAAGCTATCACTTTCACCCCTTCCTGCCTCACCCTATCCTCCCACTGGCCTCTAACATTATTTTACATCTCACCCAAAAGATAGGTTTTCATTTTAATGAAAAAAGCAAAACATTTTATAACAAAGATTTTAAAGGACCATGGTTCACATTTTTGTTTTTAGCTGTTACAGTTATTAGCTTTCAAAAAGAGGAGTTAAAAAAAGGCTGGGCTGTGCAGTGAATACTTGTGGAGCAGCATGGCAGAAAAACCCTTTTGGATGCCTTTACTACTGCCTAGGTGTGAATCAGACCAGTGCTGAGCCTGTCAGCTTCAGATGAACTCAACGCATGCAATGGACACTCGGTAGGTGTTAAATCAGGTGCCACAGACAGTTATGAAAGATAAACAGTGTTCAAAGGCACTAAAAAAAAAAACAATGGCAATATTATTTATTTCCATAGCTTTGTGTCAGAAAATCTGACTAGCTCTAAGTCCCTCAGAGTCCTAGAGAGACAGGGAGAGGTTATGACTATTAAAGTTTCCAGATGGGGAAACTGTGACAAGTACATTCTTTAAGATCATACCAGGATCTTTCTTACACTCACAGGCAAGAATGGAAATCAGCAGACATCAGCACAAACATGTTACCTTGCTCAAAACTTTAACTGTCCAGTATTACTACAGATCTTTTCATATCAGTGGATAAAAGGTCTATCATGGATTTTCCTCTCCCTCTAATGAAAGAGACTGAGATTGATGTCAGAAAATTCAACACCTCCAAAGTAAACAGGAATCTTTCTTCTTCCCAGCCAAGAAATCAGCTTCTCAGAGATATTTAGATATGCCTGATTCTACAGAAAGTCCCAGAATATCCTTTCCAAATATAATTTGTTCTTCTAGCAAGTCATGGCCCTAAATATGGACACACATTTACTCTCCTATTAATTAAAAAGATAATTCTGGTATCACAGTCTATCTTCACCAAAAGCCAGTTGCACGTAAGGGGTTCTTCAGGCAGGAGGACACTGCAGGGCCATGGCAATAAAAGCAAAGTGAGGGGAAAGAGTGGCTAAGAACAGAAAAGGAGGAAAGCCAGCAGCAATGAGACAGTGGAAGGAACGAGGTGAAACCTCATGAGATGCTGAGGTTTTTAAGGTGACTTGTCCCTGTGGGAGGCATTTTTTCTGCAGCTACTTTCTTTGTCACTCATCAGATAAAAAGTAGAGCCAGGGGAAAAAAACATGAATGAAAACATTTTTCACAGTGTTTCTCCTCATCCTTACGGGTCCCTTCCAACCCGAGATACTCTGTGATTCTGATTCCTACCTCTTGCACTTCTCTCTGCAAGCCTTGCTGCCAAAACCTGTCCAACCATTAAATGTTGTTTGCAGGCAATCACTAGGTGCTAAATTCACGATGGCATTAGTAAGCCATAAAGCTCTTAGAACATTCCTACTATAGCACAGTTTTGACACCAGTCTTTAAATAACAGCAAGAAGCTGCTTCTCCAAGCCACTTGTTGGCAACACACATTTGTTTTGGCCAGCTGCTACAGTGAAATACGGAGCAGCACCTAGGAACATGGCTGCCATCGAAGATCCTACAGGATACAGCAGGCATTAAAGCACCTCAGAAGTAATTGTGAAAACCTTCTCTCTTCTTGGGTGTTACACTGCACCAGGAGAGTTGGGGCTTAAGGACCTGACCCCAAGCCCACTGAAGTGAATGAGTCTCTGCCCACTCCAATGGGCTTTCAGAACATGCTGCTTGAAGGAGAGGTGAAAAGAAAGAGATGTTAGAGGCTGTTTCAAGAACATTCTGTACTGTGTGATTTAACATCATTAAAAATAAGTAAATAAATAAATAAACACAAACTGATTCACAGAGTTTATTTTACCTATATAATGGGGACATGGTCAGTCTCTGATGTTCAAAGCTAGATGAAGTCTGCAAAGAAAAAAGAACATCATTGTAAACCAAAGTGCCTAACTGATAACCAAATAAGGGAAATTTGTGGTGTTTGCAAACATGAGCTTGAGAGAAACAACAAAGCTTCACCCATTACTATACAAAGGAAGGAAAATTATGAGAATTTTAAAGTGCATAAATAAAAAAAAATATGAAGACTAGAAGACAATTTTGCATTCCAGGTTAATAAGCCAAAAGCAGTCATTTATCTCCCCATATCACTACCCAATTCATTATTGCTATCTATCAAAACACAGGGAAGGAGCATCAGTCCCGCCTGTTCTATGAAGGAAAAGGAAAAAAGGTCATGGAGTTAAATCCTATAATACACTTTAAAGAACTGAAATTAGTCTCTTACAAAAATCCAATTGAAATTGACTTAAAGCTGAGTCCTATGACCTGGATGGAAAAAGTGGTTGAAGGACTGTAAGCAGCTGGTAATCATGGGAAGTGATATACTGAGCCGGTTTGCTGCAGAGGTATGTTTTTGGTCTCTTCTTATTTAATATCTCAATTAATGATCTGGAAAAGGAAGTAAATAGCACATTAATGAAATTCACAAATGACAATAAACCAGGAGGCTTGCAAATGTCAGAGAGGACAGCAATAATATAAATGGATACTAACAAGGTTAAATATGTAGGCAGGCAATAAAATGAAATGCAACTTCGAAAAATGTAGACTAATACACTGAGGAAAAATAATCAGAAACATAGTCCATGAGAAAGCAAAACCTGGAAAGCATCTGTGCAGAAAGATATCTTCGGGTGACAGTGAACAACAAATTGAATACAAATTCTCAAGGAGATACATAATTTTTAAAAACGGATGCAATTTTGGGCTGTGCATGCAGGGGAATAATGTCAGAAGATGAAAATTATTGTCTATGCATCTGGGAAGACTTCTGGTGAATACTGCACCCACTTCTAGACACCTCTGTAACAGAAGAATGCCAGCATACTGGAAAGGACTTCCAAGAAGAGAAATAAACCTTGATTAGACAAGGAAGGTGACAGGGTATACATATATGTATGGTTTCAGCTGGGATAGAGGTAGATTTTCTTCTCAGTAGCTGGTACAGTGCTGTGTTTTGAATTTAGGATAAGAATAACGTTGATAACACACCAATGTTTTAGTTGTTGCTGAGCAGTGGTCAAGGACTTTACAGCATCTCATACTGCCCTGCCAGCAAGTAGGCTGGGGAGCAAAAGAAGCTGGGAGGGGACACAGCCAGAACAGCTGATCCCAACTGACCAAAGGATATTCCATACTGTATGACATCATGCTCAGTATATAAACTGGGGGGAAAGCTGGGCGGGGGCTGCTGCTCGGGAACTGGCTGGGCATCAGTCGGCAAGTGGTGAGCATTGTGCATCTGTTATTTTTATTATTTCCCCTTCCTTTTCTGTCCTATTAAACTGCCTTTATCTCAACCCATGAATTTTACTTCTTTTTCCAATTCTCTTCCTCATGTCACTGGGGGAGGGGGAGTGAGCAAATGGCTGTGTGCTGTCTACCTGCTACCAGGTTAAACCACAACACAAGGGAAAGCAACAACTGCCTAGAAACATGTAAAAGATGAACAGAGAGAATGGACAGGAATTTCTCCGTTGCTAACATGCAGTGGTACAGCTAAATGTAATGAGATGGAACTCAACAACATTTGGACAAAGTATCACACAACTTCTCAGAAACCACATGATTCGGTCGAGCAGGTGATTTTCAAACGGAGAATGAAAAGTCCCGTCAAACAAAGCATATGAAACTTGAGAGGGTAAAACAATCAAAGGCAAACTGTAGTGACCAATTGTGCCTTTGCAGGAAGTTGAACTACTTGGCCTAAGAGGTAATTTCCATGTTTAAATTCCCTGATTCTGTCTGCCCCAATATTCAGCCCCATTAGTGGGTTTGATCTGTTACTGGGTTCCTACACACAGTGATATTTTTTCAAGGGAATGCACACCACATATACTTCAGTCCTGGTACAAAGTCTCCTGTAGAGTAAAAGCTGACTGCATACATTGACTATTTAAAGTACTCAAAACCAAGCAGATGTGTGACCTGCTTTCATTAAAAAAAAAAAAAAGAAGTACTTTTCCAGCAGACATGGGTTTTTAGCGACATGATCCTTCAGTGTAAAGTATTTTGGTTATTTGAAGGAAAATGTGATTATTTGTTTATTCATGTCTACTATCTTTCCATTTCCATATTTTCTGTACTTTAGCATCTTTATTTGTTCTCATGTAATACACTGGAACTTGCCTAGTTACAGTAGAGGTCTACTCAAAGTGAAAAAGGAAGCTTTTAATGCTGAAGTGTACTGTAATGCTCCAAGACCCTGGTGTTAAAAGTAAAACGGGAAAGAAAGACTGAAAGTAGTATGTAAGTTAAGAAATACATAGATATAATTTTCCTTTTATAGAAAAAAATGTGATTTCATCAATACAGTGATATCTGTGTGTGCACCTGTATTTACATGTACATACCTTACCAAGTTTCCCATTTTTATGCCACCCAGATAAGTCCCTTTTTATGAATATCTACCTTGGTCTTTACAAAAACTGTTTCCACATTCTTCCAAAGAGAACAAAGAGGTGAAAGGTTTTTCAAAGTTTTTCTGTCCTTCTCGCTTCCCCTAGGGGTTGTTGGAGAGCTGAGGAAGGAGGAAAGCTTACTGAGAAGAAAGCTCCTGGTTTTACCGTAATAAAAGGTGGCAATCTTATCATGTATAGATGCTCAAAGGATGTATAGACAAAGGACGACGGCAGTGAAGATTGCCATAGGCAAAACAGCAGATCTAATCAAAAGCTCTATACGCATGGATGTAGGGAGCCAGTGGGAAAGGAAAGCACTCACAGCACAGAATCTGGACTTGCTCTTCTGTCTCTCCACGGCTACCTCACTGGAGCGCAGGAGAAGCCAGAACCCTTGGTATTTTGGACAGAGAGGAGCCTAGCCATTGCCCTAACTCTGACTGTGTCACAGAAAGCTGTTAATATAATAGCAGTTTTACTTCTTTTTTTTTTTTCCTGTTTTTGTTTTTGTCCTGAATGGGAGCACATGCGGGTAGCTACCTCTCATCAACAAAGTCAGTGGAATGAGGTGGTGTTTGTATGGCAAGCACTGTAAAAATAGTTCTATTGTACAAAACAAATTACAGACCAAACGCATATGTAAAAAAAAAAAAACCACAACCTTTAGAACACTGTCATTTTCAAAACTGTCAGACGTATGAATTGATATATGTCCTCAGGCTCTCAAAGATTACTGAAAGTCAGGACACCAACCAAGAGAAGTAAAGCATTCTCAAGCCAAAGCTACTGCAGAACTCCTCCTTCAACCCACTGTGAGTAATGTGCTAACCCAGGTGTCCCAGAATAGTCAGAGGTATTACACAATCTGTGTGCTCCATGCTCTGAGAACAATGACTGAGAACAATGAAGCACAGCTAAATGTGCTAAGGTACTGTGGCAGCCACACCTCGGCGTTTTTTCTGTTAGTTTTTGTTAATTTGCCTGGGGGAGGAGGGTGTTTTTATCTAGCAACACAGGCACTGTAAGCCATACTCTTTTCTGGAACTGTCAGAAAACAGACAGTCTGTAAGTCAAAGCACAGGGTTTTTTGTTTGGTGGTTGGTGTTTTTTTCTGTATGCTTCTGCCTCATGCCCTTGCCTGCCTTGCCTGTTTAGACTAAATTCTTTGGGTGGCAGGACACAGTACCACAGTTTTCACAGTGCCAAGCACAGCGGGACCCAGTTTTTACTGGCCCATGTGAATTGCCATGAAGCAACAAGCAAATAATAATAATAATAACTTACCACACATCACTGTTGCAGAACCCTGCAGAAACCAAGGGCCAGACACTCCAAGCAGATAAGCTGGCAGGAGGAAACCTGCACTGCCGGGCTCTGCCTGAGTAGGTGATAGTATTTGATTGCAGACACCTCTCCTCCTCCCAGTGTCCTCATTCTTAATATGCAACATAAAATGCATCCCTGGGCACAGACAGCAAAACTAACCCACCAGATCCACCTCAGTTCAGCACAGCAGTAACTCCCTGCTCCTCCAGCCCTTCCAGCCCCTCCAGGTGTCAGCATGAAGAGTTGTGCTGTCTGCCTGGTGCAAGACAGGCAACGGGATGTTTAATGGTCTATGCTCCTGTCTGAGCCAGACTTAAGCTGAAACTGTCTCTCCACATGCAACTTGGGTATCTGGCAAGCCTCAGCGAGACACGTTTTCCTCTTGGCCTCCTTTCCTTATTTCTAGGCCCAGTGTTCACATTCCAGAGAGCAGAAGAGAGGAGGGGGGAAGGAGGAGGAACAATGGAAGGGCACACCAAACAAAGAGCTGTAGCCTGCAGAGGCCCAAGGAAACCATAGGAAAATGAAGATACATTCTCAGAAAATATAAAACCTGAAGAAATGTTCTTGTATGCAGCATAAAAACAGATTTGGAAGGGGTGACAGAGACTGACTAGCACTCAGTATCACATCATCAGAGGCAGTGAAGAGATATCAGGCAGGGGGCTGGGAAGCAGCAACCAGCTGCCCCATATGGTCAGCTCTTGGTAGGCAATTTGATTTTCATTTTCTCCACACATTGTGTTCATCCCTGTGGCATCTGGATGAAAAAACAGTGGTGGAAATAATAGGACAGGCTTGCCCAGGGCATTTTTAAGGGCCTGAGAGCCATTCATTCATAGACCAAATCTAGACCAGGATGGAAGCAGGTAATCTGCTGACTGTTTGTTGTCTTATATGAAATGTTCCAGTGGTACTTCACAAGTATCCACATAAAAATTGAATAATTCACAACTTTCTTAGCATTCTCAGCAGATAGCTCAGCCTCCGCAGCCACCCAGGACTCCACAGCTTCTTAGTACTAATGACTTAGCTCTACAAATATATTTAAGCACACAAGTCTATGCAGGTTCCGGGTGTAATTGTGGTCTATCCCAAAAATGGTTTGAGGCAGTGAAGAGTAAGGTAAGGTGTGGGAAAGATCCCGTGATTGTACCTGTTCTGAGAATAAAAGGAGCTCTTCGTTCTCCTAGGCTATTAATCTGGTACCTTCCATGAGCACAAACCTGGAAGAGCTAATTTAGATACGTGACCTTCTGTTGTCTTCCATGTGTTTGCAGGATAGTGACAATGGCAGCTCAGTACATCCCGTGTTCTATTGCAGTTTGTCTTGCAGAAACAAGAGAATTTATTATTGTTGTCATCATCATTTCAAAATAAATTACATCTAATAGAAGAAATCCTCATACAGTTACAAAACAGTCATCCTCAAGTCCTGCTGTCTAACACTGCCTTTCCACCAGTTTTCTCCAAAGACTGCCAAAATAAAGATCAATTAATATATATGGACAAACAATTAAAAATCCAATGAAAAAAAAATTCAACCCCTAAAGCAGGGTTGTTAGGACCTTTTTGGTGTGTCCTGTCAGACACAAAAGAAAGGACATCATGCAAACTCATTGATACCATACACATATCTCTCAATGCCAAGCCTGGCTCTGGTACCCATGTTTCATTCCTCTAGAGAAAAAAACTATTTTACAATGACCAGATCTCACAGTGGTGTAAATAAATCATTAAAATGGAGGGAAATTATGATATTTGTCGGAACACACAAAGATGTGCCCCGAAACATTTTTGTTTAAATAAACATTGGACAAAAACTATAAAGCTAGAAAAAAAGTTATTCCTTTTTCTTATTCAGGATGGGAATCATCACTGCTATTGTAATTCAGCTGCTGATAAGGATGTTCAGACACCACATGGTGAAACAATATAGCCTACATTTACCTGGGAGTCAGGAGACCTCCACAGCCTTAAACAAACCATCCGTGCACCTTCCCACTGTGTCTCACCATTTGAAAAGCTGCCTGTCAATGAGTATCTGCATGAAGCTGGTACTGTGGTTCGTACGCTGCATGGGACTGTGTAGATGCTACTGTAACACAATTAACAGCAACGGTTCTGAATTAAGCTGGAGAAGTCTTTAGCAGCAGCTAGGGTGAGCCCTGCCAGAAGGCAACAACAGAAGAAATGATAACTCAATGAGAAACTTGAACTGATAGGAAGGTTTCCCATTTGGATAAAAACATGAGAACCCTGGACCAGCAATGCCCCCCTTCTATGATGCCAGCCAACAGATACTCCTCCCAGGAACGTTCAGCCTTACGGGTGGTGGCTCTCCTCCTTACTCTTCAACTGCAGTCCCCACTTGTGCGTGTGCACGTGTACACGAGCACAAGCATAGAGGAGAGGCCAGATTTTATTGTGATGTGCAGGGCGGGTGATTCAAGACTTTGTGTAGGCAGTTGAGTCACCTCCTTAGCAAAAAAATGTTCAACACTATTGTAATTCCCTCTTTCTCACCTGAAGTCCAGCAATGTATGCAGAACCTTCCAGCTCCGTATTTCTTAAACAGTGAAAACGTGCATGGAAAGTTTAGCTTTAAAAACGTGTGACTGCAACAAAACAGGTTTGCCCCTTCGTGTCGGATATCATGAATCCCTGTGGCTCGGCGGCAAGGAAGGAAAAGCTGGGGGGCGGGGGGATAAATTTGCTTTTGCGGAGGGGGGCCAGTGTTTTGGGCTTATTTAGTAACGCGCGAGTAAACAGCGCAGGCCGGGAAATGCAGCGCAGTAAGAATCTGTGTCACCCTTTGGAGCCTACTGCTTTAAATTTGCGCGCTGTAGCTTGAAGCATTGCACAAACTCTTGGTCTGCTGACTGCCTCCCTGGAACACAAACACACCGGTGATTGGGAAAGCTGTTTTCCAGCTTGCCCGCCCTCCTTTCTGCCGGGCTGCTTTTGGTGTTCATTTATTTTTAAAGAAGTCTTGTACATAAAAAAAAAAAAAAACAAAAAAAAAACAAAAAAAAAACAAAACAAACCGAACCCCAACCACACAGCATTTTTAATCAACACCTATCTCCTTCCAGGACCCTATGATCCTCTATTGATTCCCTTTAAAACGCTTTTCTTTTTCTTTGCCCCCTCTGCTGATCGAATTTCAGATCAGCCAGGATATGCAACTAACCTTCCGGCACAACTGAACCCAACTGACTCACGGAGATCAAAAGGCTCGATGCATTCATTAAAACGTAGCACAGCCCAAGCAGGATCTTTAACGCAAGCTCTCCCTTTGCATTGCAATTAACGTGGGGGAGATGAATTCTTTTTATTTTTATTTTTTGCAAATGTTCTTGCTTTTTATTTTCAGGCTGCGGGGGGGGGGGGGGCGGGGGAAGGAGCGGTGGGAGGGAATGAGAACAAAAGAGAGATCTTTTTACCCGAGGATGACGTCAGTTTGATTCTACTGACAACTACTGATGCACGTGGAGCAGTCGCGGGCAGATCCCCATACCCACCCCCTCTCTCCCTCCCTCCCTCCCTCCCGCATGGCACGTCTCTGGGATACAGTATACGCCGACAGCCCACGGGCCGAAACACACGGCCCTTCCAACTCCGGCCGCCCTCGCCCGGGCCGGTCAGCTGCCCGCTGCCCCGCAGACGGCGAGCAGGGGAGGGAGGGGGCGGAACAGCCCGCGGGCAGGGAGAGGGGATAAGGCTCTAGCTCAAGAATGTTGCTCGTTACCGCGGCCTCCGCGGGGATGCGGCCACAGAAAATAGTCCCCGTGCCCCGGCTCCCGTGGGGCTCTCGCTGCCCCACTCAGGGCCCCGCCAGCCCCAAGGACTGGGGGTCGGCGCTGCCGCGGCCTGCCGTGAGGGGCAGGCTGTGACCGCTGGGCCCCCGCCTCCCGCGGCCGCGCTGCGGCCTAAAGCGGGGAGAGCGGCCCTGCCGGCGAGGGGCCTGGCTGCGCGCAAAGCCCGGCCTGGATCCTCACGGAGCGCGGCACCGCGCCGGGGCGCGGAGGAGGGCGCTCACCGCCAGCTGCCGCGGTGCCGTGAGGAGGAAGGAGGAGGTGTCCGGGGGAAAGCACGCTCCGCCGATTAAAGGGAGGCACGCACCCTTCTGCGGCCCGCCTGCCACCTCGGAAAGTCACGGCTGAGTCAGGGCTGCATCTTCTCCCGCTCAGCCCCTCGTGGGGCTCCTGGCTCCCTCACCGGCAGGAATCCTTCGCTCCCCTCACCTGTGTTCATCACCCCCCAGTTAGGAACGCTTTCTAGGTTCAGAAGTAATTGCCAGGAAGTTTTAAAAGTGAACAGAGGAATCTCTATTTTGTGCTGTGTAAAGAATCTGAACAGACTGCCCGTGGGCAGGCTGGGCATTGCTGGCTTGAAGACTGCTGAGTACCAAAGGACAGCAGTCCCCCATTGCACAGCCCCCTTCAGATACTATCCCACAGACCTTCTCTTGGGACAGGGGGGGTAAGGCAGTACCTGCCGGTTTAAGCCATGAGGTCCTTTCCGAAAATACATGCAAGTGTTCTCCTAAATGCTGTGAAACCGGCCTGAGCCTGTGAAGATTTGGGATTGTGCACAAACCAGCCTGTCTTGATGGAGCCAAGGAGATCTGTATACATTCTGCTTGCAGGGTTTCAGGTGAGCCAGCCAAAAGCTGTTCATCAGTAGTCACCACTACCACTCAAGTCCTTGCCTCTCCAGGTTAGAGACAAAGATGCCATGCGGGACAGTGTCAAAGAGTTTGCATAAATCCACATAGATTACATCAGTCACTGTTCCTTTATCCACCAATGCCATAACCCTGTTGTAGAAGGCCATCAAATTTGTCAGGCACAATTTACCTTTAGTGAAGCCATGTTGGCTGTCAGCAATCATGTCCTTAATGTCCATGTGCCTTAGCATAGTCTCCACTTGGACCTAGTCCATGATCCTGCCAAGCACTGTGGTGAGACTGAGCAGCCTGTGGGTCCCCAGGTCTTCCTTTTTTCCCTTTTTAAAAATGGGTTTTCCTTTTCCAGTGAGTGGGAACTTCACCAGACTTCTAGGACTTCTCAAATATGATGGATAATGGCTTGACAACTTCATCTGCCAGTTCCCTCAGGACCTGCGCATGCATCTCAGCAGGTCCCATGGACTTGTGCACCTTCAGGTTCTTCAGAAGGTCTCAAACCTGATCTACTGCAGCAGGTGGCTCTTCATTCTCCCAGTCCTGCCTATACTTTCTGTGGTTCAGGCTTTGTGGTCAGAGCACTTGCTGGCAAAGATGAGGCAAGAAAGTCACTGAGTAGCTCAGCCTTTTCCACATCCCAGGTAACCAGGTCACCCGTTTCCTTACGAAGGGCCCACATTTCCCCTAGGCTTCCTTTTATCCCCAGTGTACCTATAGAATCTTATCCATATGTCCTTGGTATCCCTGTCCAGATTTAATTGTCAGGGCTTTAGCATTCCTAGCCTGATCCCTGGCTGCTCGGATAGTTTCTCTGTATTTCTCCCAGGACACCTGCCCTTGGTTCCACCTTCTAGAGGCTTCCTTTTTGTGTTTGGCTTTGTCCAGGAGCTCCTCGTTCATCCACACAGGCCTCCTGGCCTTCTTGCCTGACTTCCTCTTTGTTGGGATGCATCACTCCTGATCTTGAAGGAAGTGATCCCTGAATATTAACCAGCTTTCTTGAGCCCCTCTTCCTTCCAGGGCTATATCCCATGGTACTCTATCAAGCAGATCCCTCAAGAGGCCAAAGTATGCTCTCCTGAAGTCCAAGGTAGTGAGTTTGCTGTGCTCTCTCCTCACTGTCCTAAGGATCTCAAACTCCACCATTTTGTGGTCACTGCGGCCAAGGCTGCCCTTGAGCTTCATATTCCCCACTAGCCCCTCCTTGTTGGTAAGGATAGGGTCCTGCATGGCCCCTATCCTCATTGGTTCCTCTATCACTTGGAGAATGAAGTTATTATCAATGCATTCCAGGAACCTCTTGGATTGCTTCTGCACTGCTGTGTTGTCCCTCCAACACATACAGGAGTGGTTGAAGTTCCCCATGAGGACCAGGGTCTGTGAACCTATCTGTCTATAGGCCACACCTATCTGTCTATAGAGGGCCTCATCCCTCAGTCTTCCATGTTCAATAGCCTGTCAGAGACCTCCACTGTAATATCCCTTGTCCTGACCCATAAGCTCTGGGTTGGCTCCTCATCCATCCCTAGGCAGAGTTGTGCACGCCCCAGCTGGCCACTGACATAAAGGGTGACACCCCTTCATTGTCTCCCTTGCCTGTCCTTCCTGAAGAGCCTATATCCTTCCATGTTACCCTTCCCTGAGCCATCTTCGCTTCTGTGCAATATGTCTTCCTTTACATACTAAATTTCATCCACTAATTGACAAGTACACATCTTACTTGGAGTTCTGCCCATTTTTGACATTGAGCGTGTGGCTCTTTTTTAGCAAGGTGTAGTTGCAATTTGCACTGGTGTGCAATTTTTACTCATTTCATAAATGTACTTCTTGTAATACCATGTTGTCAGCTCTCATGGTTTTTTTGTGATGCTGATGTTCTGTGGTAGAAATTCTTTAAAGCTCCAGTTCCCCAAGTCAAGGAAGAATTTTGGCTTTCATCTGAAAGGAAAAAAAGTCTGTTTCTGGTCCTTTTATTTGCAGCAGAAACTTACATTATGTGCTGTAGCAGCTCTGGAACCAAAAAGAGAAGAAACATAAATGTATTATTATGACCATCATTGGTATTGTTTTATTTTAACTCTCTCAATACTTGCATCCCTGATTCTTTATAGCCTGGCCTTACTTAATATGAGACAGGGATAAATGGATTTGTGCAGCTTACACAAGCCCTTACTTCTCTGCTTGGAGGTCTCAAATATATTTTAAGTTGAGATAAATAAGTGTTATTACTTACTGCTTACACTATTTACACTTACAACTGTGACACACTCGCACAGGCATTCAGAGTTTTTCTCTGCAAAATCAAGGTGTGTATCTATTCTTTGTTGCTTTGAGGGAGTGTAGTTCTGGTAGCTGAGTATATGATTCTGTCTGGATTATTACTTCTCTGTAAAAATAAGTCATTTATGATTTTTACAGGTTAGTAATTCAGTAAAAATCTGTGTTGTACTAGGACAGGGGCCATTTTCTCTAGCTGTGTGTAGCTTTTCACAGTTTGGCATGGGAGAGAGCTTCCGGAGTTTTTTGCTCAATTTTTTTTCTCAGATATTTCCATGCGGAATCTACAAGTGGAACAGATGATTGTTTGCAGAGATTTACTTTGTCTTATCTTAATTCTCCATCATTGACAAGTAGCCTGTTACATCTTTCCATACCTAATAAGCAAAATTTCCCTCACGTTTTTTTTACCATGGCAACATTCATCCATGTCTTAACAGTTTTGACTCCTTACCTTGTCACAGGCAGGGTAACAATCCCCACCTGCACACACACACTCATGCACATGCTCTTCACCTTTCAGGAGATACTTGCCATGTGGTTTCAGAGGAATGGCTGTTCTTTCTCAAGAGGCTGCGTTGTCAGTGTCACAGTTTGGGGTACCCTTCCATTGACTGCCTGAATCTCTCTGCAGTTATATTCCCGTTTCTACTCCCTTGTGCCCCTAGTGTGGCTGGTTGAAACATACACCTCATCACCACTCCAAGTCTTATGGCAGAACCAGAGGTAGGGATAGGTTCACTCCATTGCAACCATGGCAACACTTTCCAAAGATGCAGCCTACAGTCCCTGTGAGTCTTCCAGTTTTCCATGGCAGCCTTGTTTCTCAGAAGCTTACATCGACCCCAGGAATAAGCATGTTGCAAAATGCCTAAGTTGCTATTTGGTAAAATATATCCTTACCATGTACAAAAACAGGTGAGCTTTCAACTTCCTTTAAGAGCTGAGCAAAAGGGAAAGGTGAAGAGGGTTCATGTAGCTTCTGTTTCAGAAAGGCTCTGTCCTATTAAATCAGCAGATTTTTTAAAAGCCAAATCTCAGTTGTGTTCTCACTCATTGTTAAAGCAGCACAGAAAAAGATCCTCCTTTGTCTTTATGCTGCCTGTTTCCTGAAGATAGATGATTCCTCTGAGGCTTTACACTTGGACACCTATTGACCTAGGGAGTTCAGAGGCAAAATTTTAGTTTGCTGTCCTATTGTTCTAAGCCATTTCAAATTCAGGCAGCTCCCTAATTTTAGGAATGTTAAAGTTGTCTTTCCATGCTTTAATAAGGATTATTAAGTCATGCATTAATACAAGAAATGCCAAGAGTTTGAAATAATGCATACAGAAGGGTGGACTAAAGCATCATAAGCCAGAAATTATTTTGTGGAAGGCAATGATGGAGAATGAAACCAAACTTTTCATGGAACCTTATAACCTGTAGTATTAAAGTCAAGAGAAGAGCTCCCACTGCCTGCTATAGCAGTGGATGTGGACACTGATATCTGCGATCAGCCTGTAGCCTGAAATAACACTGGATTCAGCAGTAGTATGTTTTTTACAATGCCTGTATAGATACTCATTTCCCAAATTTGAGGTCTTGACCCATATTTCTATTCTGAGTTCGAGCTGAGCAATGGAAAGACACTGAACAGCCTTTCTTCTAATACACATCATGCCTGTCTCATGCTGCACCAGCACTGTGCCACAGGTTTGTTCCACAGATACTACTGAGGTTTATCTGTCTTTTAACTGAGTTGTATCCACTGGAGTATTTCTTAATGGAAACACTTCTATCACAGTTAAGTCGGTAACAAGGTATTTGACACAGAGCCTAAATTTTGAGCTAAACATAGCAGGAACTCTTTAAGCTTACTTTATCTCGCCTGTTACAAACTTCTGGAGAGATTTCATCTCACTCAGAATTTGTAGATCACCAGTTAGTTCAAGCAGGAGATGTCTTTCCAGCTGAAGAAGCCAATGCTGTTGCTGTCAAATTAACTGGGAGGACAGTTGTTCCGTGTGCTCACACTGATTGTATGTGGGATATCTCATTACATTGGGGGCAGTTTTGTTGTTTTAAATTATAAAGTAGCTTAGTTTTCTTACAGTGTCCAGATTCAACTCATTTGTCAACATGTTGCATTTCATTATGCTCATCAGCTCATTTGTTTTTCCTGAGGGGGAAAAAAGCTGAACCTCATTTTATTTTATAAAAGTCAGGATTCTTTCCAATTAGTAGAACTTCTGTTTAGCCAGTGCTGTGAAAGGTGCCCTTTCCACAGTACATGTATGTGCTGAGGAGCACATCTGCTACTCCCGTACTTTTTTCAGTAGCATCTTTTTGTCTAAGATGAAAAGGATCCACTCATAAGTCCTGGACAGACAGACATGCTCCTAAAGGAGGAATTATGCTTTCAAGATATCCCCAAGAGCTGTATCCAGCCACAGCATACTGTAGATGTTACATTTTTTTGTACACTGCAGCTTTGCTAGTATTTGAATACATGCCATAATTCAGTGGGAGCATAAATAACTTCCACTCAGAAGATGGATGCTGTGGTAGCAGGCCAAATGGTAAGCCTTGTCAGAGCCTGCTTTTTCACTGTATCAACCACACAGCATAATATTATGCTCCTTATTTAAATCCTCCTTGCAGATGTCATACTGGGTTAATTGACAAGCAACTGGATTTGATAATGTGTATAATACGAGCATCTATTGATTCCTGTGATAGTGAGGATGTGCATGTAGTGATCGTGGGGTTACAACTCTCAGCAGTGGGAGATGAGTAAGTCTGTGGGTCACAATCTATATTTAAGCTGCCAAGGGGGTCAGCATTAACTTACATGCAAGTTTAGATTGATAATTCTTTATAGGTATGGAGCATTATTGGCTGTAAAAGAGCTGTCCTTGTACCTGAATTGTTTTAGAGCAGCAGAGCTTTATGCTGTATTAACAGCATGCTGTTAAGAATCAGTACCAATGTAAACACAGAGAATGATGGGTTTATGTTGGCTGTTATATCATACAGTATTTCACAGTTCCTGAAATCATTTCATTTTCAACTAAGTTGCTTTGGCTTTGCCAGTCTATCAGCAAAGACTGAGCAAAGTGCAGCACTGTAAATGAAATGAAACTCTCAGCTCTCCAGATAGTAAATGATGGCTCTTCTGTTGAGCTGGAATTCTGTAACAGCACTTACTAATTCCAGCTTATATAATACAAAGTCATTTGCCGTTTCACTTTTTTCTCTGAAGTTCATCATTATATTGCTAAGCTTTTATATGAACTTATGCCACTCTAAGCCAGAGGGAGCAAAAAAAAGGAGGGAAAGAAACTGAGGGAAAGAGGAAAACAGGACAAAGACTATAATGAGATGAGAATTAGGAAGGAGAAATAGGGGGCATCAGAAGAGCAAAAGATTATGGAAGGAAAGGAACAGTATATCATAGGAGAGGCGGAAACAAAACCAAGGGAGGCATTACAAGTGTAGAATAAAACAGGGGAAATTAATACAGAAGATGAAAAAAAAAAGTAACTTCTTTCATTTCTTTCACGAATATTTTAGACTCATCACTAGCAATCCTACTTGCTGCAATTCACTGTGTTTGCCTCTTACCTCAGAAATACACCTCTGTATAATGAGTTTCCCCTTTCATTTTGGCATCTGGCTTGCTCTTGTATAGGACTAGGCCTCCAGAGGTCACTGAGGAGAATTGGTTTCTAATAAAGCTCCTCCATACCAGAGTTTAAGAGCTCTCCCACAATGTAGTGCACAATGAAAATTGACACCACCAAATAGCTTTAGTTTCCTTTTCTTTTTCTTTTTCTTTTTTTTTTGATGTTCTGCACTTTTTTTGGCATCTGCATATCTGAGTTAAATTTTTCTGCTGAATATTGAGCATATAGCATGAAGAAGTAAGCTATAACCAAATATATATGTGTGTATATATACATAAAAACTACAGTGACATCATAGCTTTTTGTAAGGTGTTTTTTTTCTAATCGTGAGAATAAGCAGATGTGAGATGCTTCCTCTATTATGAGCATTTATATGAGCTGTGTGGTCAGAGGTACTTAGCAGTGAATTTGGCTCAGGGCAAGGGAACAACAGCAGTAATTTGAGGGGTGATTTACTCCTGTTAACACTTTTCAGAATTGGCAATAAAATCAGTTCAGTGCTCTTAAAATATGAAGGGCTGGATTTTAAGCAAAATATGGAAGATATATTATCAACCTGAAAAGCGGTCAAGTGAAAAACTGTTTAATACCTAAAAAAAAGCCTATATATGTATTTCCAACAAATGAACGATAATGAGAGGGCTGCTCTCTTTTCCTAGAAGTGATTAAGTTGTCTTTGCCTTTCTGGTTTGGCTGCTTTTAGGCTATTGCTTATGTAAAACAGAACACCTCCTAAGCCCTCGTTTACTAAACAGAATATCTGGCTTCTGATCTCATGCTACACAAGGAGGTAAATTGTATTCTGTGTGAGGAGCTTTACATATGAGCGTAATGGAAGGAGGACAAAGACACTCCTCCAGAAACAACAAAGACACTAGGTTTGAGATACTTAAAGTTGAATTTTCGTAGTTGAAAAGTACAATTCAAACATGGAAACAAGAAATCAGTTTTTGTTAGCCCCACAGGTATTTATTTTAGAAATTTTCATTTTGCTTTTCTCCTCTCTTAGCAAACCTGTATGGCAGAGTTTGTTGAACAGTGTAGGACAGTTCTGCTCTGAAGTGATGGAATGCTTTTGTGAGGGATCAGCTTCCAAAGGTGACAGTCAGAGGGCACAGCAAGGATGCTGACTGCTTGCTCAGTCCTGAGTGTTCTCAGACAAGAGGGGATTCTCATAGCTGTGAGCAGTCAGTGATGAAGTGATGACCACATCCAGCTGTGCTATCACTAAGATAGGTTGCTCAGCTGCGTTGCTGTACCTCTGGTATGTGAGTGCATAGGGTGTATGGCGCAGGACTTGAGGGGTATCCAGTCTTTCATGCACACTAATAAATTTGTACTTTGTTCCAAGGTGCGAGAATCTCATCTTCAGTCTGCAGACCAACTCCATGCAAAAAGAATATGGCTTATTAGATGGTGGTGGTATCCATTCAGTGATATGTCATGAAGCAGCAAATGCCAAAGCATCTGTATACTTGTATATGGACAGAAGCAGTTCTTTTGCAATAGCCATCAGCTGAAAGGAGGAACCAGCCCAGTCCCAGGAAATACAGACAAAAATGTAAGTGCAATTTTTTCTTCTATAGACATAGATAGTTTATCTTGTCTGTCATATTAGTGCTGCTGAGAATAGCTCCAGGCAAAGTGTTGCAATACAGGAATGACTCCAAGGAGTTAGTGCAGTGGCATTTGACCCATGCTGATGCATTAGAGTGCATTAAAAGTGCAAGACCAAATGAGAGAAAATCCATGGACAGTAGCATATGAGACTGGACATACTGTTGAATTGTTGGACACAGTTATTTGAATTATGGTAAATTATTCTCTATATATGCATGCAGACATGGGATTAGGACAGGAATGTCCAAGAATGAATGGAGGTAGAGATAAAATGAGAGCATGAATAATGGGGTATTCTGTTTTAGATCCTGTGCTTTGGGGGTTTGCAAAGACCCCAACTCATTCCAGCCTAATACATACAGGTTCATCACCAAAACTATGTGCTAAGCACACTGAATTACTGTGTGTTTGGCCGGCTGCGAGATGTGCAGAGCTCTGCCTACTGACTGAGGGCACAGGGACAGCAATCGCTCTGGAGAAGCTGTAAGAGCCTCCCTTTGTTTACAGGTGGTAGAGGCTGTGTCATACACCTGGCATTTGCCTGGCAGCCATATAGAAAGTTTTAGGACTGTATGTCACAGCAGAGAACTACCTCCTTCAAGAAGGAGTGCCTTTTATGATATTAGCCATTGGGATGTGCCAGAAACATGCTTAGCTTAGTCAGGGGGACTGGGTGGAGCAAAAGGAAAATCAGTAACTTTTATCAGAAATTATGAGGTAATTGCCTTTTCTCTCTGGAACCAGGCACACAAGTCTCTGGCAGCAATACCTGAGAAAGCTTTATAGTGAAAAAGCATTTGTGTTTCTTGCTGAAAACAAAACAGCTGGGGAAAAAAAAAAAATCAGCCAAAGATGCTTCTTCTGAGGAACTCTGTGCAATTTGCTTCACAATTAGACACTTGAAAGGCACCTAACAGGGTTGTCTGGAGCCCATTTAAGAGAAGGACAGGGGGCTGCCTATTCTGTCCATGGCTGAGGAGGGAACTGGGGCTCTATCATGGGTGATTTGCAAACATCCAAAAGAGAGCCTTCATTGTACTCGGGGGGGGCTGGAGGCCCAGTTAGTATTTGGTGTGGTGCTGTGTCACCCAGAATATATTCTTTCTAGAGAGCCGTGCCTGGTACCTGCATTGTTTTCCTCATTCATTATATACTGGGCATGCATTAGTGACAGCACCATAGGAAATTGTATTCATCATGCTAAATTGCATATATCTACCTGTCAGAAGCCTGCATGTTACCCCAGTAAGGGCCAAGGCTTAACTGCTTCTTAGTAGTCTGGTGCAGAAGTGCACATTACACAACTACCCTGTGTTCAAATGAACCAATACCTCAGACAGTAGCTGGTGCAAACCAGGATGGCAGCTGTCTGTGGATATAATCACAACTGAATACATACTGCCAGGGCTTCTGTGTCCTGGTTGCACAGCTAGGGGCAGAGCACTCAACTATTTCTAAAGCTAGATATGCAAATGCCTCTGGAATGGAGCCTTTTACAGTTCTGCTCTCATTAACCTGATTTGCATATGTAAATGACCTCTTGCCACATGATAATGAGGTCTGCTCATACAGAGATGTTCAGCATATAAGGAGAGGGTTTTCAGTGACAATCAGAGCATTTTGGCCAAAGCAGCTGGTACAAGGACAGGACCAAGAAAGAAGTAAAGGCAGGATCCAGGGACAACAGGGCAGGGAAGCAGAAGGAAGCAAAAGAAAATCAAACGCTGCAGATGTCTCCTCCAAATGCCAAGGGCATCTGCAGTTCTAGTGCCTTACTGGAGCAATTTCATAGTGGAGTCTGTGAAATGAGAGCAGCTGGAGGACACTGACAATTGGGAAGTGACCTGTGGCGTGGAGCTCCATGGATGATAGCGGATGTCTGGCTATCGTAGAACAGCAAGCACGTGGCCTAGCATTCACTGGCTGGTTTAAAGCAGTCTCTTCCAGCTATTCCTGTGAGCACCATCACAGAGAGCTGGACACATGGCAACGGGTCAGTCCTTCTTCAAGAGCAGTCTCCAGTTTAATCATTTCTCTGTGATTACCTCTTTGCCACTGGCACACTCATCCAGAGGTGACACTTCTCATTTCTTATTCCTCATATGCTGCTTAGCTTCTCATCAGGGATATTTCATACCTATGCCTCACTTAGTGCATGTGGAGGCAAGACAAAATCCTTCCTAGGTTTTCCTCCTTGGATACCATGCCCCTTTTAGAGAAGAAATGACTGCTCATATCCTGAGATATTTGTCTTCCTGCTTGCCATGTTTAACTCTTGATTCCTGGTCCTGCTACAGAACATTCAGCTGCTGAGGATTTGCTGACTCAGAGCTCTTCAAAACCTACCTGATTGGGCACCATCTTTATCCAGTTCAGAAAGAGGGAATGATCAGTTCCACTCAGACTTGCCCAGCTGTCTCAGGTAGGAATACAACCCTTCTTTCTTTGAAAGGAGGAAAAGGCTGTAGAAGATGGTAGTTAATACCTGTTACTGGGGAAAAAAAAATAAAATAATTGTGGGCTAAACTCAGGATTTGCCTGCATAAAACCTTGTACTGGTACATGGGAAGTGGTCGGTCTCTTTTTGTCACTGGAAAAATAATAGTAGCCAGTATCAAATATCAAGAGCCCTATTTATAGCTGGTAAGCCACCAAACTGAGGTTAAAAAAAAATGGTAGGGATGCACATCACAGTCAATAAATAAGAATCTGTGTTGGTATCTTTGTGAGCTAGCCAGAGTTAAGCTAAATTAAGTTTAAAAAGTAGTGAAGACAAAGCAACTTGTGTATTAGATTAATTTAGGAAGTTGAATTCAAGCCTGTAAAGGAAATTAGTTCATCTCATGACTACTTTTGGTTCACTCCCACTCATACCAAAGGGAAGATAATGCATATGGGAGACAGAGAAACTTGACACACTTGTATTTCTTTACCTGTCCACTGCTGACAGAGCCATGCAGTGTGACTACAAGTAATGGTTAACTTCAAAGCACTAAAAACTGATTGTTGAACATGCCCCATCCTTTCTGCACATCAGTAGGCAGTTCCTGGAGCAGCCACTGGCCCAAGCCCAACTCATCTGTGTTCCACCCTTCACAATGTGGTCATTACATGAAGGAATGATGGTGTAATCCCTCCTCATCATGTCCACCAGCATAAACATGAGATTCAATTTTACTGTAGTCACGCTGTCAGTATAGTATTTCCCAGTCAATAATATCATCCAGGCCCATGATTGTCCCTTCCTAAAAAGCCTTCAGGTCTGGACCCTAATTTTCTAAGCTTACATCCCAAAGCCCTCTCAACACTGAGTGCTTTTAACAAAAGCAACAGTCTTGCATATCTATGCTAATATTAATTTGTTTGGTGGTCGTAAGGGAAGTGTTGTAATGTGCAGAATGACCTAGAAATGAGTAGTGTCTGAAGAGCATAGTCTGGGTCTGGTGGTTTATTCATATAAATAAATCAGAAGGATCAAGCAGAGCATGCAGGGTCTTTTGAGTGTTTCTGTGTAGCCTGTCTGAGCAGCAAGCCCTTAACCACACACTCAAGCAACCTCTGGGAGTATTCAGTCAATTTGGGCAACTAACAACCTGTCCTAAAACTGAGCCTGCAAGCATTTGCCATTCTGAAAAGGCTGTCAGTTAACTAAGCCAAAAGGTTATGGAAATTCTCTCACTTGTAAGGTGCCATCTTTAGAACACCTTTTGTTTAACTTTATTTTTAGTTGTTTAGTAGGCAGGCATTTTTGTAGGGGCTTTAATCAGACAAGGGGTTTATGAGGCTATTCTGAGAGAAGGCATTTAATTAATTCCAGACTTTTCTCTTCCTCCCTCTTTTGTTCAGCTTAGGTATACCATCTACATACCTATCTATAACAACTGAGGTAAAAATCCTATGAGATTTCTAAGAAGTTTGGTTCATCTTTCATTAGATTGCAGCAGAACTGAACCATATCCTCTCACTGCTAGACATTTTTTGAACTAGGTTTTTCCCAGTCTCACTGGGGTATGTATGTGAGCTGGAAAGCTTCACAATGCATTAAGATTTCATGAGGGCCTAATTCTGTTTTCTCTTACACTGCCCTGAATCTTCAGCACACAGTGCTTCCACTTCAATGTAACATAACTGAGAATACAGCAAGTCTCTGAGTAGCCAAGCTCCACTGCATGTACCATCTAAAAAAATGGTGTTCTAACCATGCAACTTGTGATTTTTATCTTGAAGAGCTAAAAGCTTAGTGTCATTACTTCGTTCCTATTAGATAAGTGTTTTGGAGACAGGAAAGACATTTTGGCTTATAGTAAAAACTTTTATTCCAAATGTGCTCTTTTCTTTAACAAAAAAAAAAAAAAACAAAACAAAACCCAACCATGAAGAAGGCATTTTGAGAGATCTTATTTTGTATTAAATGGTCAATGTCCCTTCATTATTTTGGCAGGGCTAGGTTGCATCTGCTGTTTCTGTATGAAGTCATGTAAGCAGGCACAGAATTCTCATCTTGTTCTGCTGTATGTCAGGATCTAATTGTAGATTTTTGCTTTCACGGGAGGTACAAGCTCAGAACAGGACCTAGACATCTTGTAGACCTGGGACCAGCAAGCACTTTTGCTCAACATACCATTAGTAGAAGAGTACACAAGACAAAACATAACAACATAGAATCAGTTCCCTGCCCCCGCAAATAGCTGTGAGCACCTCAGTTTCTCCTATTCCTGTCTGTAGCATACCATTTAGTCACCAGGAAAATAAGTGCTGTGGTTTTAAGTAAAGTAGCTGATGAGAAACTGAGTAAATGGATGAGTTCTTAATTAAGTAATTAGACAAATAAGAAGGGAGAGGATTATATGATACAAAATTGTGAATAGAATAGAAAAAGTAGGTCAGGAATTCCTGTTCTCCCTATATCGTGATGCAAGAACAAAATGACATGCAATGAAGTTCAGAAGTGAGAAATTCAAAGCTAATGAGGGAATGGTTTCATGTAAGCCATAATTATCTAGTGGAAGCCTTTCACTCCTGGAAGTCCTTGATGCCAAGGATTTATCAAGTTTAGCACTGAGACTAAACTATCCAGAATTATCAGAGATAACAACAGCTTTACAAAACAAATTCAACCTTGCTTCTGGTTTTAATCCAGTCTTAACTCTGAAAGTGAACTCCTTCAGCTTTGACACCTTCCTTTGAGCTATCTGGTTACGGCCACCACCTGAGATAGGTCATTGGAGCACAGAAATCTGCGTCAGCCTGGTGATTCTTGCACTTTTATACCCATAGTAAAGTCTCCTTTATATTTGATCTGGGGTGTGGGACAAAGTCCCATCCCAAGGACATTTACATGCTAGGCTTGCTCAAAGAGCTACAGCTCCCTGCAAATGAGCATAGCAATGAACACAGTTTCTCTGCAGCCATAGGAGATACCCAGCTGAAAGAGGATTCATCCCCTGCAACAACTATCAGCATTCTCGATGAGATTTTCAGAGGCATCCATGTTACCTGTCTTGGAAAATGGGCCATGTGTCTGCGGATCTTTAAGCCCCTGGGATCCTTCTCATGTCACCAGGAGCTCAAAGATCTGAGGCCTCATTATTACTGCTGTTCCATCAGAGCAGATCTGCTGCGAACGCACATTTTTTCTGCACCTTACATATTATTCCAGATATTCAAAGCCAACTCTCTCAACCTGACCCAAGTGTATTATGGTGCATTTAAATCTGATGTAAATCATAAATTTGCTGAGGACAAGCTGCTTTATATTTTCAATCAACTTTTGGCTCATGTGTTTTAAGTGTGCTTAAGAGTTTTACACACTTTCATCAAAACCAGATGATTCGATTATTTTCTGTATTCATAGTACACCATTGCTTTGCCTGCATATTTACAGCAGCTATTAAAACATATGAAAGTCATCATGTGCTTCAGAAGGATCAGGGTAATCACATCCACCAGTGAAACACATTCATTTTCAGCCTATTCCAGCAAGATATGCAAGAAGAAAATCATCAAGAACCAAAACTATTGGATATCGTTGGTTTACTTGGAGCATGGGGTTGGAGGTCCCCTAGAGCCTGGTGGCATTTCTGTTGACCAAGGTGATGACAGAGACTCCTGTCATATTTGAATGAGAGCTACCTGATGAAACTGACAGTGCCGATGACAGTTCAACTGGCACATAAACCCAGAGATTTTTTCTGTGTTCCTAAATAAACATATTGTCTTCGCTCCAGGAGAGAGCCTTCAAGGCTGTGCAGCTCTGGAATTTACTTACATGCACCTTCCTGACATGGAATGCTGAAATGTTACACAGTAAAAGAATCTGTATTCTGTATTAATATGAAACCATATTGTAGTAGCTTAATAGAGGATAAAGCAGAAAAAAAAAGCTTGAATGAAAACAACTCAAGAGAAATCATGTCTTCGTAAAATACTTACGTGTGTTAAAAGACAATGCCAGGCCAGGAAACAAACAGCAGCATAAAATTAGAATGGCTACAGCAGTTTAAGTAGAGACTCTCACAAGAATAGCAACTGTTGGAGCTCTTCAAACTGATACAGGCATCTACAGACACATCTGTAAAGATGTAAGTTTAGCCTGCAGGGTGTCAGGCCCTGGTCTTACAGTGAAACAAATGTATGCACTGACTTCTTGATACTTCAGCAACCAGTTATCTTAATTAAGTTTGTTCCTCCTGTGAAGCAAAAATAACAGCTTTGGTTACCGTCTTCTGCAATATCACAGACTTTCACTGGAAAAAGCTATAGTTACAGATTCAGTTGGGAAGGTGTGTGGCTAAGCACAGCTAGTATACATGGTGTGTCCCTGAATCCCACTTGGAAGATGCTAAATTCACGAGGCCAGATTTTTATGTGCCTTATAGCAATAAGATTTCAGTCACTGCATATGCATATGTAAGTTTTGCATTCCACAGTGACTTTGTTTCCAAACTTTGACCACACATGCAGTTCATGTAAGATGCTTTCATGTAAGATGGTTCATCTAAGAATTGGTTCCAGCAATTCATTTCATTAGCAAAGTTAAATATAACTTTGTCAGTGTAAAGTGATATCTTCAGTAAAATTCAGCCTGCTCTAGAAAAAAATACATAAAGGAAACCTGCTGTAGAACAATAATCTGTGCTTTCTGGCAACAAAGAGACAACAGAGTGGTAAATAAAGAGACAACAGAGTGGTAAATAGAGCGCCATGACCATCTTCTATAACCCTAAGGTGAATTTCTGCCTTTCTGTATCCTCCTGAGTACATATTTGGTGATAACAGCTCTGTAAAATATTTGTAGTGTCTTTGCTTTGGGCATCACTGATGTTATGTGCATAGACAACCATCTGTACCTTTTATTTCGCAGAAGGCTCAAAAAAGGTAGTGCCTCTGTTGTGAGCTGTATTACTGGTGAACAGAAGACTCTCCCAGCATTTCATTTATGATTTCTAGTCCACATAGGATTCATTCATGTTTCCAGGATACCTTGGGACTATGTCTAGCCCCAGAAAATACTTTGGCTTATCAAAATACAGTTTCACAAAATAGCTGCTTATGTCTGTTTCTGCCAAGGAATAGGAAGCAATTAGCACACATGGAAAAGCTACTCTAACCTTCAAATTGTGGCTCTTGAAAGATGCCTTGGAAAGAGGATGCTTGGCAGTGAGGAAAGTGTGTGTGCATCTAGAAAAAAACTGTTAACAATAAATTGAAAGACTTCACTAAAACATCCTTTTACAGAGGCTTTCTGTTGCTGTCTGTCTATGCAAAAATGCAAACACCCATGTGCATACAGGGAAAGGCAGAAATCCCACAGCAGTTTGGGGAGTTCAATTACTCATTCCAGTGCATTGCATTCACAGTTTTAACATGAAGTAATACGGTTTTGTAGAATTGCATTCCTCACCGGAGTTTCAATGTCTTCAAATGAGAGTCATCTACAAGAATATATTTCTAGTTTCTAGACATGTTTAAGGAAGATTTTTGGAGTGAAGTAAAAAGGCAAGAACTTTTTTTCTCTTGTTCACATGTAAGTGAAATCAGCTTTTCTCTCAAGTGCTACAGATAATCATGAACAGCTCAAAATCTCGATGGGCATGGGTTGTCCATTTCAAGAAAAGATGAAACAACGGAGAGAGAGATGAGTTGGGCACAAACATTTTATGTTGGTTTTGTTTTTTATTTTATTGCTGGAAACTGCTGTCTCTTTACATTTTCTTCTCCTGAAAAAGAGGTTGAGTTCAGTGGCTAAATCTGTCCTCTCAAGGGAGCACGCATTACTACTGCAGCAGCAGAGGTGGAGGCAGCCCAAGCCCACAGTCAGTCTCAGGTAGTAATCAGCCCTTTTCTTAAGAACTCAGTTCCAACTTCTTGTTTTATGGCTATCTCCTAACAAGAAAATATAAATGAAGTTACAAGAACTTAATGACAAATTATGATTACTCATATAAAGCCAAGACAGAAACAATTAATTACTTATTTAAAGATTTGCCTAGCTCTGTGCAGCACTGTTTATGCTAACTTCTTACACTGTTTTAATCTTCTTTGCTGTGATTCCAGGTCTGTAGCTTTGGAGTTCCCATAGGGTTTTTTTTCATCAGGATGTGGTGACAACACCCATTTTTCCCTAGCACAGAAACTTCCATCAGTCTTTGTCCTTTAGCTTTGCCCTATTGTCTTTTTATTCTGCTCATCTTTTGTACCACTGTACAAGCTTGGCAGGGTACTGCTTATATGATTTAGAGACAGCTCTGGATTCTTCCATGCTTCCTTTATAAAATGAAGCAGGATATTGAATTAGTTCATCGTAACTGGCCTGGATGCAGCCTTCATTGTTAGGTCTGTCAGCTGTTCACATCTGGAGGAGTAGTCCAGTGGCATTGCTTCCAGGGTCTACCAGCCCACAGGCCATGTCCTTTATTATTCAGAGGCCTCATGTGTCTATGCCAGTTCCCCACTTTCTGTTCCCTGGAAGCTGTTATGTAAATGCAGAGTCTGAGCAGGTGCCCCAAAATGGAAAAGAAAATTTTAGGTAAGTTTTAGAGATGGTCTCTCCTAGAAAGAGGCATGAAATCAAACAATATAAGGAACTGGTAAGCAAATGCAGCCCACCTCCCAGTGCATAAGCATTTCATTTAGCTACAAATGCTATGGCACCCCAGTAAAATGATATGATACAAATAAAAGCCTGACTTTTGTCCAGTATTGAATAAATGTTAGCATTAGCTTAGTGTCCTGTGTGCTTAGTGACATGCAGTACACATGCATGAACATAGTCCCAGCTCTGGACACCTAGAAATCTAGCAAAGTTTCAGACTTTTGGTTTAGACATTTATGTGGCTGAGTTTGATTTAAAAGTCTTTCAGGTCTTTTTGGGGGGAGAGGGAAGGGGTGTTCTTTTGTGGTGCTGGAGGGATCAGAAATATCTTGCAGTTTACTATTCTCACTGTGTTTTAGTAGTTGAACTTGCATTATTAGGCAGAACATGTAATTGGGAGAGTGGCTGAGGTAACAATACAAAATCTCAA